TGAACTTTTTTAAAAAATTTTGAAGACAAAAATAATAATAACTTTTTAAAACTCATACAAATCATTAAAAAACTTAAGTAATTAAATTCTCGTTAAAATAAAGAACCAAAAAAATACAAATAGAAATAATTTTCAGTCGAATAATGATAAATATTAAACATTTATTAAAATAAAATTGATTGATAAAATTAATTTAATTGTTGAAATATAACACTAAATATATTTGTTGAAATAATTAAAAATAAAATTGAATGAAATTGAAAAAAGCTTCTAGCGGAACAAACAGCACTTGATGATCCCAATAAACAAGTACTATATTTTGATTTACAAGCATCTGTACATGTTGTTGAAGCACATGTTGATACTGATATTGTTCCTTGATAAACTAATGAACAACCACAACCTATACAACATGAACAATCACAACCATAACAATTAACATTATCTATTAATAATATAATCAGCAATAATATTGATAATAACTTCGACATTTCTTTTTATCACGAAAAATAAATCAAATTCAACTTTCTCTCTTTCGTCTACCAATGCAAATAAATCATTTTTTTTTAATTTTTGCTCATCAAATATTAAATACAAGAGAGAGATAAAAAGAAAGAAAAAACACAAAAAAAATGCATATTTAGGACTTCAGTCTATTTTGTTCGATAATTAAGTAATATCGATATGAGTAACTGATTTATTCGATGAAAAGAAAAAAATATATATGTTTGAAAATGAATTGATTTAAATGATAGATTCTTTTTTATTTTAAAATAATAAAGATTAAAATGGAAATTGAAAGATAAAAAGGATATTTGAATGTTGTTATACATTGAAATTTGATAGATAGATATAAGTTGCTTCTTTTCTCAACTATCTTTCACTGATCACCAACTAACAATCGATCGATCAGTTTTGTTTTATTTTAATTATACGAAATTAAACAGACGCATCTTGATTAGTTATTATATAATCAAATAAATTAAGTAAACAATTTTATTTATCTTTTAACGTTCGATAATAGATATATTTAAAATAAATATTATTATTTATTATCTTTATTTTATTTTAGGATATATATGCAAGTGTCTTTTTTTCATATATATATATATATATATATTATGGATTGAAATTGTTAATTAATATTTAAATGCATATACACATTTTGTAATATTCATATTTAAATTGATTTAAATATTCAGTCGAAAGATCCATTATATTCTCGTCGAATTCGAATAAAATCTGTTCGATGTCAAAGTTAAATAATTAAATATTTGATTATATTAATTATTTGTTTTGTTAAATAGATAGACAAAGGTAAAATGAAATAGATGAATAAATATTCAAGACAAAATAATATATTTATCTAGTTATTGTTCTGATAACGAACCGTATTGTCAATTGTCATTGGGTGAATATGGTTAATGTCCTCTTCGTATGTTCGAAATGATCGACGTCTTTTAAATATAATATTATCAATTTTCCTCTTTTATATTTAAATCAAGGTATACATATATATATATATATTTGATATTATAAACAAAAGAGAATATCTGACAGTGAATATCTTCAAATGATGATTTTTTTTCTACTTTTAAAATGATCTGACTGAACAAATTTGAAAGATAATCTGATTAAATCAATGTTTAATTATTAAAATAAAATCATTTCATTATTTGTTTGTAGTTCTATGAAAATTTATTTGGAGAAAACAATCACTGGAATATACGATATATCAATTTAGTCTCATTCAAATTAATAACTGATTGTCAAACTAGATTTATTCGATTGAGGGTGTGGGTGAGAGTGTAACTGGGTGTGACTGAGGTGGTACTGTGAGCGTGGATACAAGACTTCTTTCGATTGATACTCGCACTCACCCTTCGAAAACGTGGAAACTGGAAAAGTTTTCAAACGTAGATTTTTGCATTTTTGTGGAACTCAAATATATTTTCGAAGAAAATAGTGTGTAGGTTCTAAGTCGATGTTCGGTGAGTGTGGGTGGGTGTGGGTATTGCCTCTTTCCACCCACACCCACACCCAATTAACATCGATCCAAATGGATTTATCATTTTCATCATTAAATAATAATTTAATTCCATTAAAAATAACAACAGCAATTACTAGAGCTCAAGCCAAATTACAACAACAAGCAATGGCAACACCATCCATTACATTAATGGATGAAAAAATTAATGAGCTCATCCCACAAGGGAAAGTAGCGATTGATGAAGAACCGATAATCAAACCATCAGATGAAAATCCAAACAAAATCATCCCATGTGATATGAATGATTTAAGAAAACTTCAGGAAGAAGACAAAAAGACTCAAGAAATAAAAAAGAATATTAAGAATAAAAAGTATTATTGTATCGAAGATGGAATATTATTTAGAAAACAACAACTACCACTTCCGCCAGTACCATACGTTCCAGCAGGAAGAATACGTGCTGATATATTAAAAATCTATCATGATACACCTGCTAATGGAGCTCATTTTGGACGTGACAAAATAACAAGAAAAATTCAAGAACGTTATTATTGGCCAACAATGATAGCAGATATTAGAAATCATATCAATTCATGTTTACCATGTACACAAAATAATTATCGTAGTCAAAAATCACCAGGAAAATTAAAACCAATACCACCACCAGAAGGAATATGGAAATTATTAAGTATGGATTTTCATGATCCAATAACTCCAACATCAAAACAAGGAAACAGATATATTATATCTCTAACAGAAGTATTATCAAAATTTGTTATTACAAAAGCCGTTCGAGATTGCTCAGCAACAACAGCAGTGAAATTTCTTATAAATGACGTTATACTAAAATATGGAACTCTAACATGTATCTTAACTGATAATGGTACTCATTTTACTTCTCAAGTTATGAACAAATTATTTAAAAATCTTGGAGTTACTCATTTATATTCCACGGTATATCATCCATGAACAAATGGACAAATTGAACGATTTACTGCTACAATGGATGGAAAAATAGCAGCTTTATGTAATGAACGACGTACAGACTGGGATGAAGTATTACAATTTGTTACATTTAATTATAATACATCAATACATGCAAAAACAAAACAAACACCGTTGGAAATGATGCATGGACGACAAGCTACTCTTCCATTTGATCAACAAAAAGAAATTATTTCGCTCACGCAAGATCCAGAGCATAGTCAAAAAATTAGAATATTTCTTGAAAAATTAGTACATGAAGCTCGGAGTAATATTACTAAAAATCAACAACAATACAAGGCTCGATATGATTTAAACAGACAAGATTTATTGTTAAAAGTCAATGATTTAGTATTAGTAAAAACAGTCATTGTTCAACATGTAAAAAAATTAACATTAACAAGACAAGTGACAATGGATGTTATCGTTCCATTGGTGGAACGATGGAACTTAATTCAATAAACACATTCCAAGAGGGAAAGATGTGAAATTAGATGATATAATCAGTACAGTAAAAATAATTATCATTTACAATCAAGTGAAAATGATTCAGTTTGATTCAGCAATCCATGCCGGGGAGACAGAATTTCGCCTTCTCACTGACAAGGAGGGGCTGTCGAACTCAATCATTAAATTTTTCTTTATCACCTGGTACAAAATGATATATCGTCTAACCATAATGCACGACAATCAATGCACTTAACAGTACCGCGAACTGTAATGTGCAGAGAATGATGCACATGGTACGACGTAACAACTTTACTGACATCAAAACAAGAACATGATACATGTACATCTAACACACCAAAGTTCGGCAACATCATTTAACTACATAGCTGTAACTAGCAAATAATAAAAACAGCAGTAACAACAACAAAACAATAATTTATTATTATCAACAAATTTTACCGATTCAAAAATCGATTTACAATTATCTTCATGCTTATTGATTTAAATTTTTAATCAATGACAATATTAAATATTCAAATGGTATTCGTGAACAAATATTACATCGATTAAATATAGCGATGATTATTTTTACATTATATATAAATTATTAAAATATGTTTGGACTAATTAATGTATGATATGATGTCAACAGAATTAAAAATGATAATTTTATTTAGAAAACATTCAACATCATCACGATTTTTTATGATTTACTATGTGAAAAACGATTACGATTAAACCTATATTCATTTGAGTTTCTTATTGCTGATATACATATATATATTTGAACAAATATGTGAACATGCTTTACCAAGAACACATTCACAATTATTAGAGAACCTCATAAATACAAGAAACAAATGTTAATTATAATAATGAAACACGAACTCAAAGTGATGTTTTATGAATTAAGCATTCATAATGATATTTTCAATTAATTTATTGTTATATAAAAAAAACTATTGATCATTTATTACAATTGCATATATTTACATGTTTAAGGAATTTTCATTAGTTGAAAGTATTAATACAAAACGATGGAATTTCAACAATGAATTTGTCAAGCAAATGTGAACGTGTTTAACTTTTAGGATCAATTGATGAACATAGTATTTATGTGTGAGGACACACATCACATATGGAAGGGGATGATTGTTAACGGTGATTCATTCTCATCCTTCCCTAGATATCTTTCTCTTCCCTTTCTTCTTTAGTCACTGTTATTGTTATTGTTGTTTTTTCTTTTCTGTTCTTTTCTTTTTTCTCTTCTCCTCGTATCGATATATATATGTACAAGTTGTTAAGGACATTTTAAGAAAGATATACATTTAAATAAAATAAACTTAAGCTCGTCGTTTACGAGCTAACAAAAACATATTTGTAAAAAATAAAATTCATCACACCTTTGGAATAGCAGTGAGAAGTCATGGTGAGTAATGCTTTCGTCTTTCTACGTAAATACATAATTTCGGTTGGAATAATTCAACTAAAAATAAATATGCGCCAGGCTTCTGTTTTTATTCATAAGGCGACTGCAGTAGTCAGAATTGTTCGAATGTTATTCGATGCAAAAGTCATGAAATTTTTGCATTTTTTGACTTCCTCAGTGACATATTGCATCAATCTTTTCTCCTTTTGCTTTTCAATTCCTTTTCTAGATGAACTTGTATTCAAATTTAAATATGCAGATTATTTCATGTTCTTGAAAACTACTGATATTACAAATGATGTAATGTCCGACCCCATTCACAACGACATTAACGAAGATTTTTGTTTAATACTTTAAAAAAAACATTATTGTACTTAGGGTTGACCAAAAGTTCTGATCACGGTGTTTAAAAGATCTTGTTGGATAAGGTGATCTATTCAGAAAGGAAAAACCAAATATACCATGTTGTAGAGTTTTTTGCGGTGCATCGAATGGTAATAGTAAATCCTGTTTTCATAAGACTTGGAAGAAACTAGAGTCAATTTAATGATAGATTACTACACACTAACACCCACACTCACATCCAAACATGATACGTTAGTGAATATTGTGGTCCTTGATATTAGTCGCAAGTATTTGTAAAATATTTTGTCCCACATAAGATTTTGTGGAGTTTTTGACAGGCTACAATCTCATGTAAGTAACATCTCCGGTCATCTTGTCGGTGTGGTGTGAGTGTGTAGTCGTCTATCATTAAATTGACTCTACTTCCTTCAAAGTCTTATGAAAATAGGATTTACTATATACCATTCGACGCACCGCAAAAAGCTCTACAACATGGTATATTTGGTTTTTCCTTTCTGAATAGATTACCTTATTCGATAAGGTCCTTTAAACACTGTGATCAGAACTTTTGGTCAACCCTAAGTACTATTTTTTCTGAAATTAATAATTCATTTGATTCAAGTGTGTATTTTTTTGTGTTAATCATCTATTATATAGGTCATAAATGTGTTTCTTGTTGTTTTCTTTTCAGATATAAAGAATTCATAAGTATATATTCCAGTCATATATATTCAGAAATATTCGAACACTCCACATGTTATTTCCAGTTTAAAAAAAAAGAAGAAAAGGAAAAACTTGAAATATTAAGAAAAAATTATAGTTCATCATAGTCATACATTAAAGACCACATCGTTTTCGACATTCAGCGATGCCTACTGAAGGATTTTTGGCTACTGCCATTCGTATGTCTTGTATTGTCGATATGTTTAAGCCTCCAAGAGACGCTCCAACAACCGTCGCTGGTAATCCACCAAAGAATTGGTTCGCAATGGTAAGTACGCCGGGATCTTCGCTATTGAATGCAGCTACGAATGTCGCTGGAACACAATTCAAGTTCTGCTCAAAATGGATGGCTCCTTGAGGAAAAATAGCGGCTGTACCACGTTTTACTTTATTACTGACAAAACTGACTCCATTTTCCTGCAGAAAGCCAACATCGAAATCACCATCGACGGAAAAGTTTATTTCAGTTGCTCGAGGATGTGTATGTGGAAGATTGATACCGCAGGCGTTTAAATAGCCTACAGTCATTGCGATGCCATTTCCAATTGCACCAGGAAAATTGAAAGCCTATTGAAAAATAGTATTGATGTTAAACTAATGTTATGAATACAATTCGAGTTAGAAATGAGCAACGAATGAGCTGGTAAACGTATTAAAATAATTTTTTCGGTTTCCTGAATGTTGTTAGATAAGTTTTCTAAAAACAGTATCCTCAATCTTCTAAATCTGAATGAGCAGTGTATACAGATAAAGATGTTACATCTCTTATTGTATGATTTCAGTGAAACTTCGAATAACAGTATAAAAATTGTTATCTATTGGATAAATGAACTTAACTTACTGATGCTTGTATAGTTCTTCCACCGGTACCTTGTGAAATACCTGTGCTAGCATTGGCAAAATCAAAAATAAAATCGGTCGCATTCAATTTTGATATTCGACTCTGCTGATTGATCGAATTTTTAACATCTTCCAAACGCAAGAGACCTAGAAGATCATTTGTCGTTGACAACGATGATGTGCTTGAAGATACTTCAGTTGTTTGGCATAACACTGGAACGAGAACTGCTGATGTAAAGCAAATCAATAATTGAAAAAGTTGCATTTTGAGCGGAATGTAATTAGAAGCAGCTCTTTAGATTGAAATTATTGTCAAAATGAAAATGTGTATGCTGCTTTTAAGCAGTCTAATTCATCCGAGAAAATCATTCATCGAGTGACGCACGAAAGAAGTAAAATCATGCATTATTTACTTGTCCTTGACTTTATCATAAGTTCATGATTTTTCGTATGTTGGAAAGCTTTTTGTTGACTAAAATTTTTCTTTTTTTCATCTTTGCACTCAGCAACAGAAGTAGGATATTTTAGGTGGAGATGCATGATAAATAAATGAAGCTGCTTAAAAAAATTTGTGCTGTTAAAAATATTGATTCACATTTCAGCTGATTCTACGCTTGTTCGATAAGTAATGTTACTACAATGGTGAGTATGATGAACACAGAAAATATAGAATAGATAGATAAAAGCTTGTTACTGCAGCTCCTGTGGGACTGAAATGTGGAAATCACATATGCTCTCTAGTCTCATTAAACTAATACAAAATATGTAAAATGAGAAACCTCTCGTAGACTACAGTTGTTTTGTAGGATAATCGAAAATCAGAGTAAGAATCTTTCGGTATTAGTAGAATACGTCGACACCGACAGTGTTCACACTAGGATGTGGCTTTATCTCTGCTCTCTGCCCATACCCACATCCTCACTGTTCTCCTATATTCAGAATCAAATGTACCTGTTTTAAATTTCTTTTAAATTTCGAAGGATTCAAGAAAAGTGAAGATCGATAAATTTTCATATTATTAATCTGCAGCTGTGATGACAATTGAAATATTTTTCTATCGTATAATATTATTGTACTTTTCTATAAGTCGATTAATATAAGATGACGTATGAATACTTCCAATAATGACGATCAGCGTAGTTCTTTCTCTTCATCTTCATGATTTATTTGACAAGCAAGAAAACAAAAAAAATGAAAACAACAATAAGAAAATATTTGTCACATGGCAATGTCATCGTACAAAAAAAACAGAATTTTTTTTTGCAAGGTCATGCATTGAAAATAAATATGTGACGGCAAGTGAGAACGAGAATTGTTGCGTTGCTTCTCACATAATCAATATAGAAAGCAATGAATTATGTTCTAATACTGGCTGTAGTCTTACACATCTATTTTGTTTGGGAGGCCTGAATTTCGAATCGGGTCCAAATTCCTCTCATTAATTTCCTTAAAAACTCAAAATCCAATGAAAAGTTTATTCAATCTTTAGTGCTTAGCGACATGCATTTTCATTTAAACGTGGTACTTACGAGGGAACGTTTTCAACTGCCAAATCACTTTTGGGTTCAGACTCTGTATATAAGGTAGATTCTAGTGAGGTATGAAAATCCCCAAAAG